GTGTGTGTTTTTTTGCTGAAAACACTTTTCTTTAGAAGTGGGTACATAAATAGAAAAACATGGTTTAGAAGTGAGTATGGTTCACGAGAGGTGGGCTGCACACCCTTACCCACTTAATGTGGAAGTAGCCCCCCCCCGGATACTCACTACCCACTTAATGTGGAAGTAGCCCCCCCCCCCGGGATACTCACTAAGGACTGTGATTACAAACTAACGACCGCTGTATAGTATATTTTCGATCATGCACAGATTTCATCTACTTTTGACCTGTAATAGGCGAATCACTTTTATTCTGTGTAACACAATACATAACAACATCTTGCCATCACTGGCAATCCTAAAGTTATTTCAAGTTTTTTTCCCTTAAAGAAACAATCAATTTCGGAAGAAAACTGTTTTATTTTACAAAAAGATAATCGTTGCATTATATGATGTATTATTACGGCAAAACGGATAGTTTTCAATTGACATGACCTTTCTTTATTTCCCAGATCCACTTCATTATAATGTAGTTTGCATGAATAATATATGATATATACATGTGGGTCAGAAATCAATAGTTCTATGGTAAGAGGGCCCCATATCAGGCAAAGATATTTAGACACGTTATGTCATTCATTTGTTAATTCAAATTATGATGGTCAAATCATGTATACGAGCATGTACTGATGAATCCGCTACCTTGACTTCCATCATTAAGTAAATAAATGACCATATATGGCAATGTGTGTATTTTTTTTTTTACCTAAAACATACAATGGTTGGGAATAATAGTATACCAAATTGTCGTCAACAAGTCCAACGCATTGTACCAGTCTTGTCGTACAAACACACCTTGGCTTTGTCTGATAGATGAATGCGATTGTGTGCGACACTCTGGGATTATAGGTCTTGTGTTAAACGACTTCTACTCAATTGTTATGGCTTGAGTCGACCACGATATAACCCCCATCCAAAAGAACGTGGTAAACTAGTGGGGTATGTGCACCGTTGTATAGGGCCATAAACGATGCATTGCTCTGCAACTAGCTATTTATAACCTCCACACGGTCAAGTTCAATCCATGTTAATTCAATACATTACTTGCATCTAAATTAGTAGTATTTATTATGCACAGATTATTAATTATTATTGTTTTTTATAATTTTTTATTTTATTTTACACGTGATAAACGCGATGTAAGTATGGTATCAGGTGATAACAGACTCGTCATAATCGCGTACACACCACTCCAAACAGTGATAATATAACCTCATGTGACCTTCGCATTCATTTAAGTTCGACGTTTTAGAAGCCACGTGAATAGTACCCCCAAATGCCATTTTCAATAACCATTGTATGGTATTAAGTGTTCACAGACTTTGGGTCAGCATTGCTGTTTAGCGGTAGCACCGAACACGTTAGTCATGAATAGGCTAGCCTGGTAGCGAGTTGTCAAACCATGCGCTGATCACTCAGCCACTGTTGTTTTGTGTGCCTGTATTGAATGACATGAATTTGTAATGCGCTCCCTATAGCGTTGATGGATGTGAAATCTGCTATTTCTACATTGTGCAAGGTGATTCGCAATTATTTATTTTCCCGTGAGAATAATGTATATTATTTCATCAATCGTCACAAACCTAAACATGAGTTTTTCCTATTTTTTTTTTAATTTAAAAATTTAATTGCCCTATATATTAATTTCGAATGCACTACAAACGGAATTAGACACTCAATCTTCGCCGTGTGACGTGACGCCCAGGTTTAGTGTTACATTGTCCGGGATCACCATGTGAAACTGTCGCTATGATTTAATCAATTCAAGATCAGATTACCGTAGCTTCGACCGGACATAAAAAATGGCTGATATGTAGCTCTCATTAACCAGCTGTCAACTGAGCAAAATTGGAGAGTCATTGATCACGCAGTCTGTTCTATTATGGTGTCCATACCGATACATATCTAATACAATTTTACATCCACGTAGGACACCCATGATGTGAGACCGGATCGGCAGTCATGTCATATTTTCTACCGCCGTCAAAATGAATATGCCCAAGCCTTCGCTACACATGTGCGTTACCGTGTATAATTATTAAACAGCGGCACGCTCTGCCATACTATAATACTCACCAGACACATAAGACAATGAGGGGACCGCCTATTACCGCGATCTCTGCAATAAGGTGTAGAAATACAATCGAATGATGAAATGTCCCTTGAGTAGCTGAATGTCAATATCCGTGTCTCGTCACAGGCAGTAACCGGATTTGTATAACAAGATGGCGTACAGACGCTGTCTAAATGGATCGCAGACTGTGCTCGCCCGATCCACAGGCGGGAAGGTCATGCGACTGTATAACAATGCCTATAGAAATCCCAATCTACTGAGTATTCATAACCAATATGCACTGCTTTCACCATGCGGGACGTAAAAAGGAAGCGGCTTTGAAAAACGGGAGGGGTGTTTTTAAGCATCACCATCATTGATTTGCAAGAGCATACATAATCAATGGATTCCCATAACCTTTTTTGGCGCTCGTAAAAGTACACATTTCATTTCCGACCATGTCATATGTTTTATTGATGTATACCAACCATTTTAACTAATAACCTGGAACGCAACTACTTTCAAGACCCCGTCCCGGGCCCAAATAGCCCGGATCACCCATCATGATGTTGGCGGGTATGGGTAAATGTGTTTGCTTCCATGAATTGTTTGTGTCATAATTATTGCTGCCAAAAGTGCGGGACCACTTACAATAGCATGCAAGTAACACCAAAAGTTGCATGTCTTAAAAAATTAATATTCTCGAAATTGTGTTCATCATAAGTGGGTAATAAATCGACGCACATTTCCATCAGAATTAATTAGCCGAATTGTGTACCAATTCTGAAATGGAACATTATTCTCACATTAATATTGATTCTCACTTGTGTGCGTTTCCAAAGATATTAACAATTGTTATGAAATTAACATACCTGGGTACTAGTACTTTTCGCAATACCACTGAAGGTCGCACTTCGACTGCCACCGTCCTTGGAGCTTGATCAAACTCAGCCTGTTGACGTAAGTCCAGGCAATACTCAAAACACAGTCACAGCCTATCAAAACAAAACGAAAATATTACGGAGTGAATTACGGCGAATGATTGGCGGGTAAGGTGGACCAGAAAGCAATGGTGAGTCATATGTTGCGTCAAAACACCACGCCCATTTCGGTGGAAACTGTGTACCAAGAGGGGTAGTGGGCGGCCGCTATTAAGATTGGCTACTTAAAAAGAGATTTATTGAAAAACGCGACCAAGCCGAACGAAATAGTCTGTGTAGTATGTTGTCTCATTATTGTGCAATGTGATTTTGAAGTATATAATATTGTGTCAAATGTGTACATTTAACACGACAGGGTCAACATGCGGTCAAAGTCGTAAACATGTAAGCATTTTTTTTTTGGAACTGAAATTATTGGACGACTGACACACTATGGAACATGTCTTTAGGATTAGCAGGTAGTGTTGCTATCTGCATCGGCGCAATTAAATTTTGTTCACGAGCCGTGATAATTTTACGGGTGGGTCGGTGTCAGGATTCGTCTCACTCTCTTAACGTGTTAGCCATGATCAACTTGATTATTCGGTTATTGGTAGCCTAAGCAACGTATGTATATTTTCGCCGTTTCAAAAAAAATCAGTTCGAAGCAATATACAGTTCATTCACCGCGGGCATGCCACTCAGAATTCGATGTTTATTCGGAAAATGAATTTCCGGTTTTTTTTTGCGAAATATAGCGTATTTTATAATAAATGACGCCACAGTTTAATGGCGCGATCGTGGGCATGTAGAAACAAACATGTTTGCAATATCTATTCATATGATTTTATTATATAGACATCCCTTTGTACAAAAACAATGCAATATCTGAAGCATGCAGATATGGGATGGCTGCGCCAATAAAGCATCGCTATCGACACATTCCTGGCAGCTATTTACTTGAACACATGACAACATAACATGACAACACTGCAACGGTGTCAGATGTCGGCACAGTTTATATGCACAGAATGAACCGTAGCTGCGTATTAACTAGAGTGATCGAATAATTTATAATATGACGTCGACGCCCATTCAAAACTGAGACAGCGATATGATGGATCATTCTCGTAATCAACGCCGTAATAAATACACTGGTACGATTGAATACTTACTTAGCCGTTTAAAGGGTGACAGTTCTTCTCTCGAGATAAACATCAATAATACACACTCGCGAGATATTGGTAAAACGACACCGCTGATGCAGGCAGAACATGTCTCAGTATTGGACAAACAAGTATTGTATTGTAATATACCTCGATGACCTCCATCTATCGTGACGTCACGGACAGGTCACCCTGTTTGCACACATACTTGTACAATGAGATAAAACGCTCTAAATCGTTCATTGTCACTGAATGCAAAGTCCGGTTTTCTATAGAATTGTACTGAATCCTACACATATCACTTACGCTTGTTTTCTCTTGTCACTAGGGTCTCTCGCCGTTCACTTACCTTCCCCTTTTTTGCATCTCAATTGTTCCCCTTTTCATCCATTCCCAGGGTTGTTATGTGTTAGTAAAATCATTATTATTATTATTATTATTATTATTATTATTATTATTATTATTATTATTATT